ATCGCTGTACCGCCAAGCGCCACTGAAATTATGCTTTGTCATGGCGTAAGATGGCGCAAAATGGGAGTGCAGATGAACGCGCCAAAGTGAGCGCGCCAAGGGTTTGTACGTTCTCTATCACTCACGGGTAGGCCTTGTCTTCTGGATCGAAGATGATAAGATGGCGGAACACAGGGAAGCACGATGAGGATACATCGCTTCGGCCAGGCGGCTTAAGTCCAATCTCCGAGATCACATCCTGAACGAGATGGTAAATAGCTTCGAAAAATGGTCGTACCAGTTTACGGTAACATACCCTAACACTCTGATAGTAGTTGGACTTCTTGAAGCCAGGAGGAGTGATCAGCACCTTGATGTCGACCTTACCAAGAGCAAATCGTAGTTCCTCCGATTGGTAGGAGGGGTTGATGTTTACCTGGAAAAATTCAATATTCATGTTGAGGTGATGGCCTGGTACCACAACATCAAGCGCTCTTGGCGTTGCACAATTGGTTATCTTTGAGAGCAGCTGTAGCGCAGTCATTGTGAGCAAATTCCGTGGTCGCTCCCTAGAAGGATCTAGACCTGCTACTGTGCTTTCCCCCAGAGTGGGTTCTTCGTTTCTTCAGTAAAAAAAAAGAGCGCACCGAAGCTAGCTGAGACAAAGTTCTTCGCTCATAAATTGATAAAGTTCAATACAGATTTGAACAGGGCTGCGATAACGTCATTCTTCTCGAATAGCGCTTATAGCACTGTGCTCCACGCTCCCTCTTTCCCATACAGTGATGTTTGCTAAACTTCATACCCCAGAGATAAGGAGGGCGTGGCTGCATAGTTGATCTGAACGTGAGCCCTTTTGAAGGGATATTGCCGTTTTAAGACAACTGCGATCGCGCCTTTGTCCAGCACAGTACAGAGTGATAGTTGTATCAAATGGAAACATTCTACGGAAAGCTTATCCAAAGCCCTGCTTGAATAATACAGGAAGCCACGCCCTCCCCATCTCCCGGATATGGAGTGTAACTGCCTTTATCTCCGGCTGAACTTTCACTCACCAGAACCATTCCACCGAGTGCAGTGGCAAACTGAGCTGTCACCCACTGGTATGTGTTCGGTCCCCAGATTCCAACACGATCGCCTTTTTCCACACCAAGATGGATCAGGCCACATGCTAGGCGTTCAGCCTGCAACAAAAAATGTCATATGTCACTGTAAAAAAATTTAAAGATCCTTGAAATGACCAGTATTCTAAAACAAAAGATTCAACAAAAATGTGCTGTTTGCGGTCCTTCGGAAAATTGTATCAAAGCTCGACAGTCCACGCTGATCAGGCGGGCGGAGTCAGCAGTGCAACTGTTCGTTAGTAGTCGGCTAACTCCTCTTCTTCACCCTTCTGAAGAATAGGGAGGTGGGACACAGCAAAGGAGAGAACACGACAGTAGACCTGACTCCGCCCACAAGACTAGCGCGGAATGTTTTCAAAGTTTTACATATTCAGTTACCTTCTAGCACACATAACTGAAGCTTTGTACTTATAATTATCATAGAAAAAAATCACATTCAAATTGCACTTACATCTTTCAGCAACTGATAGTATGTCCGCCGAATATTTTCCCGTTTAAAAATGACGAATTCTTTATTAGGAGTCTGAAAAGGAACATATTTGATTATTGAATGATCAACCTCGAACTTCAACCCATGTTTCACAGAGCTAAATGCCCCTTCAATCCTACTTCTTCAGTTTTTGAACTCGCTCTCCCCAGGATTTTCAATGTGTTGCGCTACGCTAACTACAAACAACAGCAAGCATTATAAAGTACATCAAGCGTTGCTATACAAGTCTACCTATGGAAAGGGGAAGGTTCCGAGGAAAAAGGGGCTGTTCAATGAAGTGAGAGCCGTGGTGGGCTGACAAACGAAGCGGGAAAGGTAAAATCCTTTTTGGGGGACAGTGCTAGAATGTGCAGGCAGCCCAAAAACGGGACCTGATTCTAGCGATCGACCTGTTT